AAATGATTTACAGTTGAAATAAAGCACTTAGTCTGCTGTATCGCGAAATGCTCCTGTTGAACAGATATCGAAGCACTCAGGTTTGCTTTTCAAGTGTGCAAAATAACGAAGGCACAATCAATAGAGCTACTGTACATGTTTATCGATTAGAACGAATCTATCACATTCAAATGTTTTTTACAACTTCCATTTTGATTAACATTCGTTTTCTGAAACAACTTCGTTAACACGTGAACAATTATCCAAATCTTTATAGGTTCCATTGTTTTAATTCTTGTGATGCAATTTGGAAGCCAAAACGGTTTCTTATGAATCTACATTATGCGCACCACCCCCCAAAAAAGGCTAAAGTGATAGCAGTTTAACAACTTCTGCCATGGAGAAATTTAGTGTGGCTTAGTTTGACTCCTTTGGATAAGGTACATAACGTTTATCAACAACAATTTTCTGGAGATACAGTATATACTGCACTTCAATGTGAAACGTGTAAACGAATAAATAGGTTTATACTTACATAGATAATTCCAGCAGCTGAGCCGAGCATGTCCTGTTCGAAAACACCAAACTGGAACACAAGAACATGTATTCAGACGACCATTAACAGATAATTTAAACCGAAGTTTCTTAGCAGAAAACGGCGTTTTCACCGGGACAGACAGCGCAGAACATATTTAAAATAAAAATCAGTGTAAAGAAATGAATAAAATATTTAAACCTCCGTTTATACTCCCAATATTTAGCGAAGATCGTGTCCTGTCCGAAGACACTAAACTGAAAACACTAAAAAAAGCACAATTGAGAATTTAAAGACAATTTAAACAAAAAGTGTTCATTGTAAGGTTTTTTTTAACCATTTTACACGAATAGAAGAACATAACCACCTAAAATACTCTGGAAAACAATGAGAAAAAACTGAATTCTAGAAAAGCTATTTTCAGTTTGGATGAATGCTTAAATGTGCCGGGACATTTCACGAAATGTTTGATAAAGAAAACTAAGATAGGCAAAAAAGCAACGTTTTCATTCTGCCAATACAGCAGTGTCTTTAGTGCTGCAACAGAGCTTTCTTCGAAGTCAAAGAAATACTCACGCTGTTTGTGGAACAAAAGTTTCCTGTTAAAAAGGAGAGAAGCGCTGGAAAAGACAGACAATAAAAATGTAATTTAGCGCCTATCGAAAATAAGTGTTTTACCCCTTTACACCTTTCTGCTAGGTTTAGGCTACATAATTATATGAATTAAAGCTTATCTACATTAAAATAAAGTAAAAATAAAACTAGTCATGAAAAGACGCGGAACAAACTCACTCAGCTCCCTCCTCTCTCGCAGAACCTGGCTCACAGGTGAGCGGGGCGTGGCCTGCGAGGGATGTCATTCAAGTGGGCGTGGTTACCGGCTGACGGGGCAGGTAGCTTTTTTTTTTGTCTCGTCTTTTATCTTCCGTCCGAAAACATGTGGAAGAAATCGAGCATGTTTTCAAAAGCTACCACGAGTTACAGGTTTCAAAATCCTTTTTTTCCATGTCCATCAGGGTAATCACAGCTGGTGCATTTAATCCTTATCAGTATTTGAGGGCCACAGGAATATGAATAAAATAATTTACAAATATGTTGGTGAGCTGTGGGATCTAAAGTTCTTAGCAGGACACTTACTGTTCTATAACCTGATTTATCTTAATGCTGCACCAAGATCATCTGTAAATGTTTATCATACACTCAGTTTAGTACCTTTGTACTTCTTATTAGTCACATTCATTTAAGAAGTTACAAGAACAAGAGAAAATTCAAATGAGAGAACAGTATTTGAGTCATGTAGCCTTGTTACTTACTAGTTTCTGGTACTGGTATTTTGATTCGATAATATCATGCTGCTATTGCTCAGAAGAAGGCTGTTGGTTTCTACAAAATGGATGCCTAGACTGTGCCATTATTCCACATCCCTTAATTGGTTAACTGAATAATCAGGAAGTTCTTAAGTCAACAGCATTATTTTTAACACTAGTGCACTGTACTGAAGTACAATTTCTCAATCTCGGTGCAATCCCAAGTCTAAAGTTTAATCCTTACCCTAAGCTTTATATCGATAAAAGATCAGGAAAGCTGAAGTTTACAAAAGAGGAGGCCGGAGAATATTTGAAAGTACCCACAGTGGCCGCAGATAACATGACTACACTCGTTAAACCCACCTTTGCTTCTGAAGAGTCTGAACCTACCTGCTGGGAGATGAACAGTTCCCTTAAGAGGACAAGAGCAGGATCCGTGCCAGTGTCAAATTATATCTCGTGCAAGGCTCACAAACACTGCAAGAGGCTCAGGCGGAGACTCTGGATGCTGTTGAAATCAGCAGGGAGGAAGAACTAACTCAGAGAAAGCTGGTGGATTGTAAAGAGTTGTGTGATGCCACGGGGGTAGTGGCCGTCACTGTGGGCACCAACAGGCATATCCGACGTATCAGACACACCCCTCACAGGTTGATGAGGAGCTCTTCTCCCATTTTCTCTTTCTTTACACTCACACTCCTCCGATCATGGCCTTCTCATCGGTGCAACCAGGACTTGTGGTGCTCATACACCTACGCCAAGATCTCTGGACCCCCCAGCTCGTGGACTCCCAGGCCCAGAGTCTACAATTCGCCTATGCCTCTGTCCTCTCTGATCTCCTCCGAGATCGTGCCTTATGTTCCTCGCAATGACAAGCCCGTCACTCGTGGTTTCCCTCCAGGAGCCTCCTGCTACTCCCTGATTTAGAACCTCCTGTTTCCTCACTGTAGCCACTGGTCCTCTCATGACCAGCCAGCCCTCAGACTTTCAGGTCCTTCTCCAGCCACTGACACCATCTCCCAACACCGCCGGGCTGGGTCTCACACAACTCAAGAGTCTCCAGCATCTCACTCTCACCCCCAGACTCAACTCTCTTATCGCACCAGGCCTCCAGCACCTCACTCTCAGGCTGAGACTCAACACACTCAAACTAAAACTCTCACATCCTCTCAGATGCCTCCCTCTCCCATCCCAGGCTGTGCCGGGACACCTTTACTTGCCTAGCTGCCACTGCTAACTAACTCCACCTCTGAATGGAGCTTTAACTCATTCACACTCTCATTCACAGCAGACTTACTGCACAGCCCTATTCACACACTAAACAGGCTGCTCTCTCTTAAAAACGAATCATATCATTTACACCGGATAATTCCCTTGGAATAGCTGCTCTCAAAGGTCCCTTCTGGAATTGCTGCGATATTCTTCTCCACAGTCTGCTCTGAGACTGTCGTTCTCATATCTCACCCATATAGGGTTTTTTTAAACTGCAGCCACTACTCTGCTGTCTAAAAAAGAAAATGCACACTACAAAAAGGAGTTCACACATTAAAATGCAACAATGTACAGTAGCACACAACAGAAGAAACGGAACAGAGGAATCAGAGAAAGGAGAGCACGCTAGAAAAATGTGTGTACACTTCAAAAAGGAGCGCACACACTGCAAGAAGACAGGCACTCTAGAAACCAGAATGCGCCCTAGAAGAGCTGGCGCATGTTAGAAAAGGCAAACACTCTAGAAAAAGAAGCACATACCAGAGAAAGGGTACGCACACTAGAGTGCAGACTACACAATGGAGTTCAATCTGGAAAAAGGGAATGCGCACTAGGAGAAGAGAACACACTAGAAGAGAACAAGCACTAGAAAAGGGGAGTGCATAGACTCACTTAACATAGTGCACACTATAAAAATGGAAC